TCCACTTACAGATTCATGGACATTACAATTAAGACATTACTAAAGAAAAGCCTCTGTTCAGATAGCCACAAACTAGGATTGTTTGTGTCGGTAGTTCAAGGAAAGTAAAAGAAATTTGCACACCGTTTCTTCTTCTTTTCATGCATTTCTAGTTTTTATGATTTTTTACATCCACCCTTCCATGATAGACCCCTGCTCTATCTCTTACATTTTACTGAAAAAAATTACTCAATCCTTTATTTTTTACTTTTTTTTAGCTATCTGGTCCAATTGGCAAAGGATTCTGTAAAATAGCAGAAATCTAACTTTGCTAGTCTCCTAAGCCCTACATTCAGGTGCCACCACTCTTTTGTCAGTTTGTCATACTGTAGTGGCATGCGTGTTGCTATGATGCTAGAAGCTATGCACCAGTATTTCAAAAAGCAGCAGGGTCACTCATGGTGGACAGGTTTCAGAGGAGCTTCAAGACTAAGACAGACTAGAAAGGACCTGGTGATCTACTTCTGAAAAGAATTAGTCAGTGAAAACTCTATGAATAGCAGCAGAACATTGTCTGATATAGTGTCGGAAGATGAGCCCCCCCACCCCAGGTTGGACGGCACTTAAAAGATGACAGGGGAAGAGCTGCCTCCTCAAAGTGGAGTTCACATTAATAATGTGGATGGAGTAGAGCTTTCAGGACCTTGATTTGCTGAAGTGTCATGACTCAAAATAAGAAGAAACAGCTGCAAACATCCATTAATAATTGGAAGGTAGAATGTATGAAGTATGAATCTAGGAAAATTGGACATCGTCAAAAATGAAATGGAACACATAAAGATCAATATCCTAGGCATTGGTGGGCTAAAATGGACTGGTATTGGCCATTCTGAATTGGACAATCATATGGTCTATTGTGCTGGGAACGACAAATTGAAGAGGAATGGTGTCACAGTCATTATCGAAAAGAACATTTCAAGATCTATCCTAAGGTATAATGCTGTCGGTGACAGGATAATATCCATACATCTACAAGGAAGACCAGTTAATATGACCATTATTCAAAATTACCCACCAACCACTAATGCCAAAGATGAGGAAATTGAAGATTTTTACCAACTTCTGCAGTCTGAAATTGATCAAACATGCAATCGAGATGCATTGATAATTACTGGTCATTGGAACGTGATAGTTGGAAACAAAGAAGAAGGATCGGTAGTTGGAAAATATGGCCTTGGTGATAGAAATGACAATGGAGATCGCATGATAGAATTTTGCAAGAATGATGACTTATTCATTGCAAATGTCTTTTTTCCAACAACATAAATGGCAGCTATACCCATGGCCTGTCACTAGCTGGAATACACAGGAATCAAATCAACTATATCTGTAGAAAGAGACAATGGAGAAGCTCAAAATCATCAGTCAGAACAAGGCCAGAGGCCAACTGTGGAACAGACCATCAATTGCTCATATGCAAGTTCAAGTTGAAGCTGAAGAAAATTAAAATAAGTCCATGAGAGCCAAAGTACCACCTTGAGTATATCTCACCTGAATTTAGAGACCATCTCAAGAATAGATTTGACGCATTGAACACTAATGACTGAAGACCAGACGAGCTGTGGGATGACATCAAGGACATCATACAGGAAGAAAGCAAGAGGTCATTAAGAAGACAGGAAAGAAAGAAAAAGAAAAGACCAAAAGGTATGTCAGAAGATACTATGAAACTTGAACATCGAGTAGCTAAAGTGAATGGAAGAAATGATGAAGTAAAAGAGCTGAACAGAAGATTTCAAAGGGCAGCTCGAGAAGACAAAGTAAAGTATTATAATAGAATGTGCAAAGACCTGGGGTTAGAAAACCAACAGGGAAGAACACATTCAGCATTTCTCAAGCTGGAACAACTGAAGAAAAAAATTCAAGCCTCAAGTTGCAATACTGAAGGATTCTATGGGCAAAATATTGAAGGACGCAGGAAGTATCAAAGGAAGTTGGAAGGAATACATAGAGTTACTATACCAAAAAGAATTGGTTGACGTTCACCCATTTCAGGAGGTAGCATATGATCAAGAACCAACGGTATTGAAGAAAGAAGTCCTAGCTGCACTGAAGGCATTGGAGAAAAACAAGGCTCTAGGAACCGATGGAATACCAGTTGAGATGTTTCAGCAAACAAATGCAGCACTGGAGGTACTATGCCAAGAAATTTGGAAGACAGCTACCTGGCCAACGAACCGAGAGAGATCTGTATTTGTGCCCATTCAAAAGAAAGGTGATCCAACAGGATGTGGAAATTATCAAACAATATCATTAATGTCACACGCAAATGAAATTTTGCTGCAGATAATTCAAGAACAGTTGCAGCAATACATCGACAGGGAACTGCCAGAAATTCAAGCCAGATTCAGAAGAGGATGTGGAATGAGAGATATCATCGCTGATGTCAGATGGATCTTGGTTGAAAGCACAGAATACCAGAAAGATGTTTACCTGTTTTATTGACTATGCAAAGGCATTTGATTGTGTGAATCATAACAAATTATGGATAATATTGCAAAGAATGGGAATTCCAGAACACTTAATGGCTCATGAGAAACCTGTACATGGTCCAAGAGGCAGTTTTTTGAACAGAACAAGCAGATATTGCATGATTTAGAGTCGGTAAAGGTGTGTGTCAGGGTTGTATCCTTTCACCATACTTATTTAATCTGTATGCTGAGCAAATAATCTGAGAAGCTGGACTATATGAAGAAGAACACAGCATCAGCATTGGAGACGACACAACTTTGCTTGCTGAAAGTGAAGAAGACTTGAACCACTTACTGATAAAGATCAAAGACTGCAGCCTTCAGTATGGATTACACCTCAACATAAAGAAAACAGAAATTGTCACAACTAGACCTATAAACAACATCATGATAAACAGAGAAAATATTGCAGTCGTCATGGATTTCATTTTACTTGGATCCAAAATCAATGCCCATTGAAGCAGCAGTCAAGAAATCAAACAACGTATCGCATTGGGAACATCTGCTGCAAAATAACTCTTTAAAGTGTTTAAAGCAAAGATATCACTTTGAGGACTAAGGTGCACTTGACCCAAGCCACGGTACTTTCAATCTCGTCATATGCGTGCAAAAGCTGGACAATGAATAAGAAGACTGAAGAGTAACTGATGCCTTTGAATTAGTGTTTTTGTGAAGAGTATTGAATACACCATGGATTGCCAGAAGATTGAACAAATCTGTCTTGGAAGAAGCGCAGCCAGAATGTTCCTTTGAAAAAAGAATGGCAAGACTTTTCATCTCATGTACTTTGGACATGTTACCATGAGGGACCAGTCCCCAGAGAAAGACATCGTGCTTGGTAAAGTGGAGGTTCAGTGAAAAAGAGGAAGACCCTCAAGGAGATGGATTGACACAGTGGTTGCAACAATAGGCTCAAACAGAGCAATGATTGTGAGGATGGCACAAGACTGGGCAGTGTTTCATCCTGTTGTGCATGGGGTTGCTGTAAGTCAGAAGCAGCTCGACAGCACCTAACAACAACAATAACAACACCACCACATTCAGGTGACTTGGTATCCTGAGATATAGTAAAAACAAACAGACAAACAAAAAAAGGATCCCTGGTGGCGCCCTTGGATACAGTAAGGGGAGACAATAAGGGGAGTAAAAAAAAAAACAAAAAACCCAATTGCCATCTAGTCAATTCTGACTCATGTCCAAACAATGACTCTTAATTTTGCTAGATCTTCCTCCCACTTGTTAAGTGAGAGCCCGCCTGCTGCAAAGATCTCTAAACACATCTGGAAGTCCTCAAGAGGTATCTCATAAGTCCAGTCCATTCCTGTGAGTAGAATCTTCATTTCTATTCCCTGTCTCCTGTTCCTGGCCCACCAGCTGAGTCTAGACCCAAGCACCCCTCATGTAGTTCCTAGTATGCCAAAACTGTCCTGCATTCTTGGTGAAGTTGGGTGCAATGCCTCACTCACTTTGTATTTCACTGTTAGTAGGAAACCCAGACAGGGCTGCTTATACCCTGGTGTGTATTTCATGAGACAGATGCAAATGACAAACACCACACTGCCCTCATTGCCCTCAGAGAACTGAGGCTGTGCTACCGGTTCAGGCTACCAAGTCTGGCCCTACAACCCCTAGAATTGGGGGTGGATTACCTAGTAAGCCAGGTAAGCACAGGCTCGCTTGTGCTTACTTACTAATTTGTAGTGACTACAGATTAGTAAGTAAGCACAAGCGAGCCTGTGCTTACCTGGTTTACTGGGTATCCGTTCTTGTCAGGGATTATAAATTTGAAAAGAAGCTTTGATTCTGTAGGAAGATGCAATGTGGTTGAGAGAGACTGATGCCAGCCATACCTAGAAGCAGAATCTTCGACGTGGTGAAAAAATGTGAGATTGTTCACTACAGATCTTCTGGTAATCAAGGAAAGCACGGTGCTTACCTGACCTATTGGATAATCCTCCCTGCCTAGAATAATTCTTTCCCTGAAAACCCTGAGTCTCTCAAGCAAATTGATTTCCCAGGGCCAGCTCTATACCTCATCAGGCATAACTGCAAAGTCATCCCAACCATGAACCTAGGGCGTCTGCATTTTAGCCAAGAATACCACAAAAGGTATAGCCCAACCAAAAGAAGTAGCTTCCAGATTTAACACAAATTCAGAAGTGGCGCTGAAAAGGTTGTCAGTGCCCATAAATGAAAGCCACTGGGAGGTCTGAGGGTGATCAGTGTAGCCCACACAGATGTGGGCGATGTGGGGAGACTCCAAAGTGAATGCACACTGACTTCTAGACCTAGCTCACCACTGACAGGGTGTCGCAGGGGCCATCAGAGCCGGGCAACCAAGTCCCGGAGCCGGCCCGCAGGCCGGGAATTGGGACGAGGGCGGGGGGCCTGCCGCCCAACCCCGACGGCCCGGGACGCCCGTGGGCGGGGCCTGGGCATCGCCCCGCCCCCGCCGCCCGCCACTTGAGCCACCTGACCTGCCCGCGGCTCACGTGATCCGTCCCTAGCGCCGCCATTTTGGAGCTCCGGGTGAGGAGAGGGAAACGAGGGAAAAGAGCCGGGAGAGAAGCGGGCTGGGACGAGGGGAAGGGCACGGCCGGGCTTCTGGCCGGCCAAAGGAGGCTCGCGGAAGCAGCAGCCACCGCTTGACCGCAGGTACCGCGCCCCGGCGCCGCCCCTCCGCCCGCTGGTAGCGCCGCTGCCGGCCATGTGCGTTCTCCCCTCAGGCCTCTGCCGGCGCCTGCTTCCTCCTCAGCCGGTCGACACCGGCCGGTGCTCGCCACACGCCCCAAGTGCCGTGCTCCCTTTGAGTTCTCTGTGCCGACCACAGCAAGGCCTCTGGAGCCCCTCGCTGAGACCCCGGGCCCGCCTGCAGGGGGTGGGGGGAAGCTGCCGGTCCCTACAAACTGTCAGCAGCCGGGTCCGTAGGCAGGCCCGCCGCCAGCGTCGCTGCGTTCTCTGCAGATGTGAAACCTCTTAGGCCGCCGAGATAGAGTTAACAACAGTGTACTCGCTGCGTTTCTTACTTACTCTTTTCAGCCTCTATCGCCCCAGCCTTTCAGTCACTGCTTAGTGTAGGAAAAGCTAGGCTAGAGAAGCAATCCTGGGCTTCTGCAAGTACTGTATCTTCTTCTGAGATCACTGGGAAAAGCGCCCACCTTTTAAGACCCGGAGGCATTCGGAGAGAATGGTTTGTGTGCAAGGCCTGGATGGTTAATTAGGTGAAGGCCACAATTCCAGCCTGTAGGCAATCTTTTTCCTCCCTCCAGTGGGCTGTAATTTGCTATCAGTTTGTATCGCTCTTCTCAGACATTTACTGGGTTTATCACCTCCTTGAGTTTACTTTTTTCGCTACTCTGCTCTGACTCAGTGTATGGGTTGCGCTATTGATTACAAGAGAAAGTCTGAGCCCTCGCTTCCTTTACGTCAGCAATTCTATTAAAGACGCGCTTTTCGGCTCTGTCAGTGAACTTTTTATGCTTACTTAACCGTAGTCAATAAGATAGTTGCATCCCAGGTGAGACAAGTAAGCATTCTTTGATTTTTCAGATTCATTTTAGCTAGTGTAAGAAATAGTAGCAAAGAAATGTAAGACCAAGACAGGAAACTGCATTAGAAGATATGTAGGTCAAACCACCGTGCCGCCTCTTTTCATGCTGTCATTCTCCCCACTGTGCTGGTAGAACTGTTTTAAGATTGCAGAAAGATTAAAATAGCAATATGCAGTTTATTGTTTCTTATTCGTTGGAAGTGATGTCGGTAGAACTAGTAGTATTTTCAGTCAATTAGATAAATTCAGAGCTAAAACATAAGATACACAGTTATTGGGAAGAGTTTCCAGAGCAGTTTTTTCTCATTTTTGCAAAATCTTCAAGTCTGCTTGTTAGGTAAATTATGTAAATTTGCATCACATAATTGGGTCGCATGAACATTCCTCTGAATTTCTTTTTGACATGGAATATTGGAGAAATGTTCATTACCCAAAAAACCAATACTTTGTTTCACCAAGAAAGAAATGTTTGATACTATATACTTTTATTCTTGGCCACAGCTGGATTTTGAAGATTGATCCAAGGGACTGTATTAATTGCAGGAATTGATTTGAAAGACACTGGCTCTGCCACTTAACAGCCATGTAGCCTTGGGTAAGTCACTTAACTGCACTGAGTATTTCCTTATTTGTAAAATTGTGTGACACTCACCTGTCCCAAAGAATTGTGAGACCCAAACACATTAACATTTCTGATACAACCTAGCTGCAAGGGGTTGTTACTCTTTTCCATATTGATACTTTATACATTTTGCTTTCATTGAGAAATAAGAGGAAATTTGAGGTATTGTAGAAAGTGTGGATTTAAAACCAGTTAGGCCGATTATATTTGTACCAGTTACTACTTCACATCTCTGAGCCTCAGGTTCCCAATCTGCAAAAAGAAGCTAATATAACCCAGAATTACATGAGCATCACACACGGTCTACACAAGCACAACTCAAGGACTATGAGCCCTCAAGGGCATGGACCCCCTCTTACTCTTTTCATGGACTCCAGCACTATGCCTGGCACATTATAGGTACTTAATAAATGTTAGTTAAATCTGAATATTGGTTAACTTTAGTTAGACCTTATGTCTTAATCACAGCTGCCAAATTAGAGTACTCTCTCAGGCTAGGTGCCAGCTAAGAAATTTTTGACTATGAAATTCATATACTCAGTATATTCATATACTCAGTTCTTTTCTTTGTGGTGACTAATAATTACACTGAGCTAGGAAGATTTTAATTACAATAAATTATAGCTGACATTAAAAAGGTAAATCTATAAATAATGTATAAGCCGTAATATAATTTGTTTGAGTAATGTTTTATAGACAGTTTATAATTCAGGGACCTGGAAATTCATCCAGTTCAACCTTCTCATTTTATATCTAGGAATCTAAAACCCACAGATAGTGACTTGCCTAAGGTCACACGGCTGAGAGCACTCTAGGGGAAGAACTCACGATCTTATATCCCCTGCCTATCTTTGGCTGGGGAAACAACAAATGTTTTATATTTTAAAATTATGATAATTTGGAAGAATGGGGAATCAGTCAGACTTCTATAGTGCAATTTTTTTCAGGTTGGGAGAGAGCAGTTTCTTAGTATGAAAAGAGACAGTTTTTTTTTTTTTTTTTTTATTGATGTAATTAAATGAAGTTTACATTTCAAGTTAGTCTCCCATACAGAATTTTTTTTTTTTTTTTAAACATACATTGTTATGAGACCCCAACTGCT